CTGACTCTTACCTGTATCTCCTCCCCAGCCGAGGGATTTGTACTGCCGGAGCACTCTGCCAACGGCGTTCTTATTGTGGGTCAGAACCACCGCTCGCTGGGCTCCGAACCGCTGTTTGTAGTACCTCATAAGAGAGCGGTGGCCAATCTTAGCACCTGAAGAAACACAGCAAAGACATGGATTCTGTTACAACAGAGAAATCTAAAGAAAGACTTGCTCAGCAGTTCTGCAGCAGCAATCAATTCAGCCATGTTTTTCCAGTCGGACAAGGCAAATCAGACAACGATAAAGTGCTAATTATTTTTCTTCTTAAGATAAGATCAACAGGAAATAGAAGAGGCCAGCAGTGAGTAAGCAGTTATCCAAATGTACTGCTGGTGGCTCACCCTTTCATTGATTTTAGTAATAGTTATTTAATATTTTTACTATCCAAAAAATCCCAACAAAAATGGCAAAGTTAATACATACTTATATATATTATTTTCCAAATTTACTAAACCCATTAAGATGTTGCCTGTTGTTTTTAATAGGTTCCAAATGTGTAAATTTAGAATGTACACAGCATTTCAGACAGGGATGATTATGAAATTATTGATATTATGAGCTGATGCAGTTGGTCTGAACAGGTTATATTTTCATAGGACTAAAAACTACAGAATGTGCCTTAATTCCTTATTTTTGGAATCATCTCAATTTATCACATCTTTCTTGTGTTCTTCTCTTACTAAAATCCTCAAATTCCAACAGCTTGTTAACTGAAAGTAACTTTCATTCTTCAGACGGAGCAAACTATCAAAAAAAATCAATGGTGGAATCTTGCAAATTAACTTATTTCAACATTCCTGACCAAAAGGACTACAAATATTAATTATTGTTTATATGTGATTATTTTACAGGTGAATGGTTGTTGTTGTTAATACACCACAGCATATATCTAAATTTGGACAATCAGCATTGCGGCCTGAATCTATGTGACGTAGGGCTGCTCGATTACAGCAAAAATGATAATC